TTGGTTGAGGTTGAAGCGGTGAGACCGCCAACGCCACGCTTCTTTGTATTTCTTCCAACCTTACGCCTCCAGTACGACATATGTGGATGGTCTCAGAACCACATATTAAAATGGCGCATGATCTCCAAAGGGGCCACGGTGACGGTGAAGACAAAAAAAGTGTTTCCTCCCCCCTCATTAGGAACAATAAGCAGTTCGACTTGCTGGTTTCAGCCCAAGACGTGGGAAAAGGGAGGGCCTGTTTCTGGCAGGCGGTATGTGATGGGACTGTGGCCCATCTGTGAGCCACAGAACACGCACACAGGGGTGAATGAGCAAGGTCTCAGAATTTGCTGCGCCGTGCGTTTGGAGGGGGCGTCCGGGATTAGTGTTCTGTTCCATCTCGCTGGCGTCCTCTTCCTTCTCTTTGGCTCGGCCATCGTACCGGTTTCCTGGGGCCGCCGAAAACGTGGTGGCCGAAAAACAGCAGACATCTGTCCGCACGCCGTTCTGAGGTCACAGTCCAAAATCAAGATGGCAGCAGGACCACGCTCCCTCGCAAGGCTCTGGGGGAGAATACTTCCTTATCTCCTCCAGCCTTGGTGGCTGCTGGCTTCCTTGATGTCCCCCGCCTGCAGCCCCACAGAACCATCTATCTGTGTCTTCTGGTCTCATGAGGACGCCAGCCATTGGATGAGGGTCCACCCCCATCCAGGACGACCTCATTTGAACTTAACTCATTATATCCGCAAAGCCCCGTCTTCCCGCATGAGGTCGTATTCTGAGGTTCTGAGCAGACGCAGATGCTGGGGGGATGCTGTCCACTCTGGCCCAGCCACCACTCACACCTGCGTGCTTATCAGACACGCAGAGACAGGGTGGGCGAGGCACCGGCCATTGTTGTGAGCTCTCCAGCATTACTAACTCACCAAACCCGGGGCAGACGCAGGACGGGGGCACTGCTGTGTCCTCAGTCCATAGTCAAAGCTTATGAGGCACCGAGAGTTAGGTGAGTCACCCGAGGTCACCCAGGGGGCCTCGTCCGAGGCGGGATTTGCCCCCAACGCTCCAACAACAGATTCCCTGCCCTCGACCCCCAACATGATGCATTTTAGCCTCACGCCCTCACCTTTGGGGTGCACGATACAGCCCCAACTCCAGTATCCTCTGTGCTGACAGCAGGAAGAATGGGGAAACACAAACCAACCTTCAGAATCTGCTTTTTTTTTTTTCAACAAACTTTTTTGGAAGCCTCACCAACTGACTTCCGTTTATATCTCACGGACCAGAACTGTGTCACTAAGTAAGGGCAGCCCAAAAAAAAAAAAAGCGGTAATTTTAGCTGGGCATCTTACAGCCTCAGACAACATGGGGGGTTTTCGAAGAGGGCAGAGAGGAGGGTGGACACCAAGTGGGCAACCCCAGGTCAACCTCGCGGTGCATTCTAGAAGGGCCCCCGTGCCATATTTATCTCTCCATCATTTCCTCCCCTCTGTTTTTCAAATGGATGTTGGAGGGTGAAGGTGAACCAGTGACTGTGTTCACAAAGCAGAAAATCAGGCTGCCGAGGCATGAGGAAGTTTAAGAGAAACACTCTAATTCCGGGCCCAATCCGTCAGACCTTGGTATGAGACGCTATATTCCTCGGTTTTACCGCAGCAGATCCTGCCCCGTGCACCAGCTCGGTACCCCACGCGGGCAGAGCGCTCTGGACAGCACCCGTCCAGCGTGTTCTCTGAAACCATGGAGGGCTGCCTCCTCTGCTCGCGCAGCAGGCTGGACCTGCCGGGCACGGTCGGCCCCCGGAGCACCTCTCAGGAGGTGCCGTATAAATAACCCAGCTCCCTCGCCCCACCACGGAATTATTTTTAAGTGTGTATTTTAGGTAATTTCCCTGCAAGGGAATGTCTGAAATATCTAACGCACGTGGTGTGTTTTGCATCACAGCCCAGTCCCGCGGGATCAAGCTCCAGCTGTCCACCGTGGCAGCTGGCGTGGCCCACGCGCCTTCCCGGCTCTCTCTTCTCTGCTCCCCTACTGACACTTCCCGAACCCCCCAAATAAACCGCCCTTGAATCCTTGTGCCGGAGTCGGTTTCTAGAGGGGATCCGAGCCAAGATGTGAGTCATCGCTTCTCCAGCAAAATCCGGACAGGGATTGCTTCCTTACAAGAGATAAAGAGTCGAATCCCCAGAATCGTATCTGTGGCCTCTCTTACGAGGTTGCCCCTTTTTTCCCAAGGCACCGTCACCTTCTCCCGCCATTTTTGCCTCCTCCTGGCCTCTGGAGAGCCCGACGCTCTGTGGTCAGATACCCAGTGAGTCACTGCTGGCGTGCACGGCGTCCAGGTAACAGAGGGAGCATGGAGCCACCAGTGAGGACGGACACGAGCTTTCTCAAGAGGTTCCTTCCTTGATTTCCCAGCTCTGAAGGCCTGGGGTGAAGACAGCCCATGACCGTAAGGCAGCTGAGCTCTCTAGGGATTTATGGCATCTAATCATCCGGGCACTTGCGGGTCGAATGTGCAGGGCACGTCCACCACCTCTTACCTGGAGACTTTTACGAGCTGTGCACCTGTCATTCGCCCCCCGGGGACGGCAGAGCTGCGCCAGAGAGAGCGCTCCTGACCTCGAAAAACTGGACGTGCACAGAGAAGGCAGGGAGGACCTGAAAGTTGCCTCACGAATCCCCACGAGATCCTGCAGGCAGAGTGGCATGCCCATTCGGAGGCCAGGGGAGCACCCCAGACAGCTGGGCTTACAGATGGTCGCCAGCTAATTCCCGCCGCCGTTCCTTCCCGTGCTGGCGTCCGCGTGCACACGCTGAAGGCCTCTCGGGTTTTACCGGTGGACAGAGATGCTCGTAACCCTTCCTGCACGGAGGTGCAAAATCGCTCTCCTCTTCCCTGAAACTCATGTCAGCGGTCATGATACCCCGCTCCCCACCCCGGTCAGCTCCTTCCTTTGGGATGAGCCAGTTTGGGCCAGAGAGTTAAGGAGCATTTTCCCGTATTTTTCCAAAGTGTGAACGGTCCTCTTGGATCTCTACCCGTTTAGTAGGAGCGTGCACGCGGGCCTCCCTCCCCAGACGCAGCAGAAAGTAGCAGCATAGCCTCTCCCCCCCCCCCCTTCATTCTTTTACGGTGTTTGTGCCCAAGATGAAATCACATCAGGCTGGGAACTCAGAGGAGGGAACAAAACCAAACCCAAGTGCATAATCAACGGGCCTTTGGAGGCTCCTGCGTATTGAGACAGTATCGGGCATGGTCTTTGAGATTCAGGAACATTCCAAACTGGAGGTCTCTCAGAATTAAAGAAAAAAATACATATGCAGATGTATATATATATGTGTGTGTGTGTGTGTGTGTGTGTGTGTGTGTGTGTATCCAAATCTAAACCAAAGGAGCTAATTATAAGATGAACCTCGTCCTGTAAGGAAAAAAGATCTTACGTAAGAAATGAAGTTAACATAAGGAAAACAGTTATGCAATGCGAAGATGATACATTTCTATTCCTTCTTCCGGCACGCTCCTAAAACGGGCGTTTGTGATTTCACATGAAAATCAAATTAGCTAGAACCTGCCCGAGCCTGGCTCTGAGAGACAGAGATGTACCTCCTAGCAGCCCCCCAGGCTCTACCAAGGATGGGCCAGACAAGGTCGGACCTACAGAGGAAACTCCGCATTCGCGCCGATACGACGCCTCTCGGGGACGCCGTCGCGTGTGGTCAATGACACTGTGGGCTGGAACTCGGGACGCGTGCTGTACAGAGGCTGCGGGTTACATGGGGACTTTGATCGCCATGTGATTGGAGGAGACGGTCCCCGCAGAGGGAAATGAGACCCACTTCTGGTTCTTGGAGCTCAGTTTTCCCCATCTGATAAATGGGCTCATGTGGCCTCCCAGAGCCCTGTAGGAGTATCTGAAGAAGGCACAGGTGCACTGGTCACAGGTGTAGAGCACGGCCGCTGCTCAGGTCGGGGTTCGTGCGCAGGACTGAGAACAGGGAGGGGGTTGTGGATTGCAGTCCTCCTGTTGAAGTCCTCAGCTGTACATTCTGAAGACGTGCACCGCTCGCCATAGCTTAGCACTGTGCCGGGCACTGGGGGGTCAGAAGGCACATCCAGCCCCGTGGACCTGGTGGCCTAGAAGAGGGATGACCGACTGAATGACTCCCAAGTGAGACAGCAGCAGTGACAGGTGCCATAGAGGAGATTCTGTGCCTGTGTTTCCCAGGCTCCGGGGAGCTCGGTAAAGCAAATAACAAGGGCAGGCGGGGACATCCCGCGGGACACCCCTTGAGCTGAGCTGAAAAACGTGATTATCAGGCAGAAGGCATGTTTGGGTGAGTGTGTGCGCGTGTGTGTTTTGCACACAAGTGTCACATCGGTGGGGCTGAGTGTGTCCTTGGAGCCACAAGGGCACTACAAATGTACACAGGGGCCAGGACCCAACAAGAGCCTGGAAAAGGGACAGGAGGTGAGAGCCAGCCAGAGCGGAAGAGTCAGAGAGTGAGGGTCTCAGCGTCCACGTGCCCCCCACACACTGTGGGAAGCAGGTGATCTCAGCTCCGTTTATGGCGCTTTGCGCCCCTGGCCGACAGCTCACTGCTTAAGGCAGACGCGTGTTGCGTGAGTTCAGACCTGCTGGAATAGCTCTCGCGGGGACTGAGCTGCTGGACTTCCTGGCTTCAGATCCCACCTCACTGTTTCCTAGCTGTGTGACCTCGGGCCAGTGACACAACCTCTCTGTGCCATCTACCAAACGGAGAGAATACGAATGCCTGTCGGTCTCATCTGAAAATTCAGATGAACGGCTCCTGGCACTTGGTGACGTTCGTCAGATGAGCCCCTGCCCCTCTGCACGTGACATCCCTCCCCATCACACTCTCCCTGTGGACGTCCGGGTGACGGGAGACCGTCGGCTCCAGGCGGCGCTGGCGCTGGGGCGTTTGCAGGGGTGGCGGGGAGGCGGTCCGCCCAGCGGGAGGTGTGTGACGGGCAGGTGTGTTTGTTGTTCCAGGAGGCGGAGATCCTGAACACGGCCATCCTCACGGGGAAGACGGTGGCCGTCCCGGTGAAGGTGGTCTCGGTGGAGGAAGACGGCACGGTGACGGATGTGCTCACGTCTGTGGAGTGCAGGTCGTCCGACGAGGATGTCATCAAGGCAAGTCGCCACCTCCCTGTCCTCCCCGGGACTCCGCTGCCATGGCGGTGTCTGTGACCACCGGCCCCTCCCGGCCCGTCCTGGCTGCCGCACCGCTGGGGTCCGGAGACCCTCCCCTGCACAGTAGTAGAACAGGGTACAAACCCACGCTGGAGGCTGAGCCTGGTCTGCAAAGCTCCTGCCCTTCGGCGTTTGCCAGGTGCTTCGGGCCTCTTCCCACCCC